TTCCTCGCACTATGGACCTGCTCCACATCGAGGACTCACCCAGTTTCTGTAGACCAAGCAAGTACTCGTCCGGCACGGCGGCCCGCAAGTGTTACAAGGATAAGAACTGTGATGCTATCTGCTGTGGGCGAGGCCATAACACTCAAAGTAGGGAGGTGACCAGGCCCTGCCAGTGCCAGGTGCGCTGGTGCTGCTATGTTGAATGCAAGCAGTGCACACAGAGAGAAGAAGTCTATACCTGCAAAGGGTAAAGCAGTTACCTGTCGGTTTGTACGACCAGTGGAGCAAGAGAAAGATGGTCATATTGAAGAGAAGTGGTTATTTTGTTCTCAAACCAAGTTTTGCTTCCACTGTCGGAACAGTGTTCTGCAAACGAAGAGGTGTGAGCTGACGGAGAAGCAATAAGCACTTTGAGGGATTTCAGATGTCCTGTGGCCCCTGTGTCTGGGGTCTACAGAATCAAGTACCTTTTCAGACAAATCGGTCAACATCTCAAGCTTTTTGTGTTTTGGTTTTGCCTTAAAGAAAGTCGGTTTTATTTTTGCTATTAACAAAATCCATTGCATCACCATAGGAGAAAACCAAAAGATACAAGAAATTAGCAATGAGTTATCAAGTTTCTTATTTAAGGATAGTAACACCAACAGGCTGGTCTCTAGGCCCTTGCCCAAAGAGCATTGGTGTGTGTGTGTGTGTGTGTGTGTGTCGGCGGGAGTGTTTATCAGTTTTTACATGTGTGCATTTGCATGTGAGCAGGCGTTAGTGAAGGGGAGGGGAGTTCAAATGACGACTTTTATGGCTATGAAAACCATATTCTGAGACTGCTAAAAAAGACAGGGTGTAAGAGTTACTCTACACGCACATATTTACATTCATACACATTGTGTGTTTGCATATGTATGTATATTAATTCAGTTATATTATAATAATATTATACAAGCCACTTATATAACCATGTTAAAACAAACCACTAACCACACAAATGCATGTTGTTTGTGTGCTCTCACTTGTTTTGCTTCTTGATTCATGTTGACAAGGCCCTTTGGAAAGCAGCACACATGTGTCTATCATCTTGCTGTGGATAATTTATAGCTCCCTTGGGACTACTCCTTCACAGGGAGAAAATAATCTCTTTTTTTATTGTAATATAATACGGACCTGTTAGTAAATGCATTAACAGAAAATAATGGAACCAGTCAGTTTAGGCTATTCTTGGCCTTAAGCGAACCAGTGTTCAGGGAATAACTTAAACCACTAGAACTATTTGGACTGAACAGACATAAAATGTGTAAATACAAACAATATTCAGCAGCTACTATACAGTGACTACTGGATACAGCCAGTACTATTGCAACAAGTGATCACTGGACAAGCAGACAGTCCATGTGAGAGACAGATAAAATAAAGAGAATTTTGAAAAAGTAGCTTTGTAAAGCTTTTACTTTTTAAATTTACTTATTATACTTTGAACTTGTAAAGAAGACTGTGGAGAACTGGAGGAATGTAGCCGCTTGCCATTTCACATCCATTTTTCCTCTTCAGCTGCCACGATTTGACTGAGGCACATCAACATGTAGACATGCAGTATGTACAGTAGGAACTGTCAGTCTGTCCAAACACAATGACAGGAAATCTAACTTGACGTGTCTGCAGAATTCCTAGTGTGAAGATGAAAGCATAAGCCTCGTAGCTAATATAAATATATTTTATAATATTTGTGTAATGTTTGGCAAATTGATATCTAAATGCAGACATCGAAGTTTTGCAGATATCATTTTCCAGATGTCATTTTAGATGTTGAGTTAATTTGCTTTTTCAAATTGTTGCTTGGCACACAATAGCACGGTTAACACAATGCAGTATACTGAGCCCTGCCATGCAACTAAAGTAACAGTCTAGACCAATAGCTTGACATTTTGGGAAATTCACTCATTTATTTTGTTGCCAAGGCTTAGATGGTTGATACATTTCTTATGTCTGTAGTAAATATACCGCTACAGCCAGCAGCCGGTTACTGTAGTTTATTTTAGCATAAAGAGAAAGAGGGAAGCAGCTAGTCTGACTTTGTCCAAGGGTGACAAAATCAACGCATCTAAAGCTCACTCAGTAGTTATGTCTCATTTGTTTAATGCAGGAACTAACCCCCATAACTCTATGAACAACTACAACTTGTCATTTTTATGAAGAAGATGCAGCGTTAGCTATAGTATTAGTAAGATTTACAGGTGCTGGTTGATGGATTTTGTTCCCTTCAGACAGGCTAGCTACACCCATATTTCCAGTCTTTGTGCGAGACTAAGATAAATGGTTGCTGGCTGTAGTTTCATTATAACAACATCAATATGAGAGCGAAATCTCAAGGAGGAAAGTGAATAAATGTATTTTGTAAAATATCAAATTAATGCTATGAAACATAACCATTAAATCAAAGGTTTGATTATATGAAAAGTGTCTCTGTACACTCTTAAGACAATACAGTTTCATTGTATTCTCAGCACTTAGGTTCTGGGAACACAGATAGTAGGACCTTAAACAGTATGCCTTGTTTTTGATGGGTGTGAATTAACTACTGAGTGAGGGACCCACCTTTGTATGATAGCACCATCCACGCACTGAAGCCCAAAAGCCCTTTAAAGTATTTAAAGATCTGTATTTATGGATATAGTGCAGAATCTTTTTTAAATTTTCTTTTTGTAATTGTAAATATCAGTGGTTTCTTTTCCTGTGGTATCGAGACAAAAGCGAGGCACATGTTCAACTCTCACAAGCAACCGAAGCAGAGTAAATTAAGTAGCGCTAAGAAATACTAGGGCAGGACATTTTTGGAAACAGCACACAGGTGCTGTAATAAAATGGTTATAGATTATGATCAGCGGTACACAATACAGAGCCATGCCAAACATCATTAAACATGTCTAAAGAGACAGTTTACTCTTTAAAGATGATCATCCTAATATTTGAAATTAAACTGACATCCTTGACAGCAAAATCATGCTTTAGAGAGGCTTGCTTGGCTTCTTTGTCCTGAGGAAATGAATTCCAAGCCTTTTGATGAGGAGGTATGCCAAATAAAGACTGGTCAAAACATATACATAGGACTTTGCATGCTACATGCAAACCATAATAGCTATGTTGAGACTCGAAGCAAAAATGCCAGCTTCCCACAGCTTCTGGTGTGCGTTCTTCACATACACTCCTAAACACTCTAAGGTTCTCTACAGGCATGACAGGAATACCAAATGCACACTGGGTGCATTTTTGTTTGTTTATAGATTGTACATAGGCTGAAAATTTCTCCTGAGAAAGATGAACATGATGCAGTAGTCAACCGGTTTTTAAATGTCACAGTCATCCATATTCTCAAATCTAAAACAATGCGCTGTTTAGTCGTCAGTGGATCATGTAAAAAAAAAAAATTTTGTATGAAAAAAATAAAAGATAAATTATTTTTAAATATATTACAAGCATGTGTTTAGTGTAAATAACATTAAAGTCTAAATTGATTTTTTTAAATCCTGTATTTTTACTCCTTTTTTTTTCTTTTGGGTGTTTGCTCCTTTGGGGGTGGAGGCTTCAAAAAGCAGTTTTATACTATGAACATATCTCAACATTTGCTGTTATCTAAGCACTAACAAATCAATGGCAATGAGACATTTATGAAAGTATAAAAAAAGTCAGTCAGGATTTGATCCATTTGTATATTTAAATATTTTGTGAAAAGACTGGCTTAGTAATGTTAACTATATGATATGGTATGAACTGAAGACTGCATCAGTGTGGGCTGGTTTATATTCACCTTTGGATCATTTTACATGTACTGCATATACCTTTTGTTGGGATTTGTGCTGTGCTTGTAAAACAAGGATGAAAGACACCAACACATGTATTAACCTATGTGATGATACTATGCCAACAAAGTTTTGTCCATGTTCACTTATTCATGTCTTATGGGAACCTTAAATTATTTTCCTCTACCTCATGTGTATAGCTTGTAGGTATAGACAGATCACAAATGACTGGTAAGAATGTATTTAAGTTATTTAACATCTTTGTATAACAAAGGCGAAAACATCTAAAATAATAAATGAATTTTTAAATTATGTCATGTGTGGTTTTATTTTTCTGAGGCACTTTGAGCATTTAGTTATGTATTTTGAACATTTTAGATCGACAACCAATACTACTGCATCCAGAAATAAAATCTGCTCAGAAACTTATTGAGGGGTTTTCCCCAAGCTTGAAAGGTGATGGGAAGGGGACAAAAGGTCTCCAGTTCAAAGATACTGGGAAAAAGCCTGCCAAAGAATACTGACTGGTGTTTAAAGCCCTACCTGCCATGTATTCAAACATCACAACTGAGGTTAAGCATTTACAGGAATCTGATACAGTTGTTGGGTTTTCAGTTTCATGATGGATCACCCACATTTTGCTATGACATTTTATATTGATTTAGTATAAACTGATTATTAAAGCCTCTGTCATATTGCACTCCACAGTACTATAACAGTGATGTTTTTACTTCATTGTCAAACAAAGTTACTCTGATACTCATTACAGTTTTTTTCTGTTGCTAACAAGCATTAACCAATACTTAAAATACTTTTTCTAAACTCTTAACACAGCAACACAGTTACATCACACACCTGGCCAAATGGTTCATTTTCGGACCAAAACCACATTTTGTTAAATAAATACAAACTTTACATTTCACAATGCAAAATACCATTTTCTACATATACTAACTTTATCAAAACACAGCAAACCTGACTCATAATTGAGTCGTTTGATCAAAACATTAGCACTAGTTTTCTATCCAACAGGAACATATAGTCAGTCATAGTGCACAGACTGTCAAAATGTAAAAAAGTAATCACTTTACAAAAATGACATTACTTCTCATTGAACTGTATACAATATGAAAACCATCTTTGATATCCAAAAATGTAGAAATACAGTAATTCAGTCAGCCTTACTGTAAACACACTAAAATTGTGTGTGTGGATAAATTTCATATAGTATATGTACAGTGGAGCCATCAGTACTTTATGGATTATAAAAAAAAGGGCAGAATTGCTGCAGTAAAGGCTTTACGGTATTGGCATTTGCACATTGCTATCAGTAATCACAGAAAAAAGCACTTTGCCCTGTGTTTACAACAATAGACAAAAATAAAACAAAATGACAGACCAAAAAGTCCTAATCTACACGATCATCAGCATTTGGCCACATGTTCTCATCAACATCACACCTTATAATGTCTCTTGCTATGCACCTTGGAAAGAAACGTTTAGAATGCCTTATCCACCCCTGGCAATCTTCAGCTGAGATGTCTCTGCAGCCAGCCTCCATTGCATCCAGAAGGGACATTTGATCATGTGGTCGATGATCATAGACTTTCCACCTCCACGCAGACAAAAATTCTTCAATGGGGTTAAGGAATGGAGAGTATGGAGGAAGAAAAAGTGAAATCATTCTCGGATGGGCTGCAAACCAATTTGTGACTGCTTGTGAATGGTGGAATGCTACGTTGTCCCATGCAATAACAAATATTGTCATGTTTCCTCCCACTTGTTCCCTTTCTGCTTCTGGCACCAGTTGTTGATTAAGGTCATCTAAAACAAAAGAAGGCGCTCTGTGTTGTAGGGACCTATCTGGCTTTTCTGCAGGACCAAACCAGCACTTGAGATTGCAGCGCACATTGTGATATTTGCTCCTCTCTGACAAATTGGAACCAGCTGTTTCCCAAGTAGAACAATAATTCTTATCAGCTCTTTGAGCTGTTGTGGCAAAAGTAGAGGCTTTACATTATATTTAAAGTTTGGATCATTAGGTCTTCAATTCTGTCATGATGTGTTTAAGCATTTGTTAAAGATATTTGAAAGATCCATTATTTTGATATGAGGTAAGCTTGTGTGAAAAGAAAATGTAAGGATTTTAGAAACGTGTGCATTGACTAAATCTTGTGTGAAAACGACATTAATTGTATTAATGGTATGGTCACAACAAACAGATGTTGTGATAATTGTGTTTAGAGTTTTGAAAATGTGAATACAGAATGGACAAATGGATGTTAGCAACTGCAAAAAACTGTAATGCAAGACATAAACATTTCTGTTTTGGGTTTACAGTGTTCAGATATATGTAGGTGCCAGAGAATTACCCTGTTGACCTGCTATTATTTCACCAAGCTCTATTCCCTCAGCAGATGAGTGGAGATTTTAGGGAGTTTTCTTTCTCAACAATCTTGTGGCTTCATCACACAAGCCTAAACGCTTGACTAATCCAAGGAAAAAGGGGACTTTGTGATCCCAGGCTGTGAATAGGAGCTTCATGTCTGGTTGCAAAAACAAAACACAGTTATGGAGTGTATCTGTTCTAATACCTAAAACATCAAAGGAAAAGCCCATGATATTCCTGACACGTGTACCTAAATTAGCAGTGCAGGAGCAGCACCCTTTCAGTATTACCTATTCCACCCTGCTTTGCTCTGAAAAACTGAGGGGCTTTAATGAATCCTGCACGCTGGACTTCTCCGAACTTCCTGCCCTGTACCAAGCTCTAATATGAGCAGTAACTTTGCGGTGCGCTGTAATCCGACAACGTTTTGACAGCTGTTACCATGAAGGAAGTGGGTGCAACTAAAGCACAGTCTGTGAGAAAAAAAAAAGATAGAAAAAAAATCAAGCAAGCATTGACCCCCACCTCCTCCTCACTACCTTCCATTTCCCCTCTCATCCTCTCACTTTGCTCAGACAGGCAACTGACTGTCAGGCAGAAAGAGTGGATGTGAGCTAATAATGATTTGTTGTTCCACCATCACCCCCACTGCACAGGATATACAGTATGCATAGCCAAAGGTAGAGAACTAGTGACACAGTTCTGGCTAAAAAGGCAATTGAAATGGCCTTTTAAGGAAGAACATCTTCGGGAATAAATAGTACAGTTTATATGAGGCCAGCTTAGCTCAGCACAAAAGTTGGTATGTTCAATATACAGTATAGACCATGAATGAAGCTTTAATTTTGGAGGTAACATGACCTAAAGAGAAACTATGTACTGTAACTTTTGCTGAACGGTGGCCATAATTATCAGTTATTAAAAATTAAATTTGACCAAGGTTTCAAGGGAAATACTATAAAACCTAATGAGGATCCAAGCTGCTCAAAGGCTGACTCTTTGCATAAAATATACTGTATCTGCTGAGCACTATAAAAACATGTTAGCTCACAAATCAGGGTTTATGATTTTTCTCAGTGTGTTGGGAAAAGCTGAGTTCCTCTCTGGAACATGTGATAGGGGTCTGAAAAGTATGTGCCCTGCTTGCCTCCTTCCTGCACCCAGCCCAATAGCTTACCCTGTTTAGAACTGTTTTTGATTGGTGTTAAGTACCTGTCAGAGCTCCTGCTTGTTTTTCATGCCTGGAAAAACATGGGAGCTCAGCATCTATCAAAACACGAACAAATAAAAAAAAACTATAGTGCATTAAGCAAAAAATGTTTATTGTATTGTATACACAGATGTGAGCAATTAAAGGAAAAACCAACCTTAAGTGTCTTTGGAAGGTGTTGGGCCACCACATACCACTAGAAGAGCATCGGTACACCTTGGTATTGATGCTACAAGTCGTTGAATTCTACTGGAGAAATGAACACACATCTTCTAAAAGATATTCCCTCCTTTGGTGTTTTGATGATGGTGGTCCAAAATAATAAGGACAATCACTTTATTTGGCCAAGTATGCTACACATAGCAGAAGATTCACATCTTTTAATAGTTATCAAACCATTCAGTGACCCCTTGTGCACTACGGATGGGGACAATGTCATCCTGGAAGACACACTCCCTTTAGGACAGAATATTTCATCACAGAATAAAAGTGATCACTCTGAACACCTACGTATCACTGTGCAATTACTCTTCCCGCTAAGGGGATAAGTGGACTTAAACCATGCCAGCATCTGCTTTCATTATGTTTCTCCTCTCATTTATTCAGTTTTTTTCTTAATTTATCGACCATCTACATCTGTTGGTGCAAATCTGCATTTCACAAAAGGATGAACCAGCATTCTCACTGTCAATCAAGTTGAGTGAAATGGTTCTTAGGGCCTCTAGAGACACAGACACATTTCATTTATAAGCAGAAATATTAACTCAATAATCACTTCAGAAAACAGTGAAGGACAAGCTGCCAAAATGATTTAACATCAGGAAGCATGCGGACATGTAATATATTTTGTCTTGTGATACACATACTGTAAAAACTATCAGTGTTTTTTTCACTGCAAATGATGATAACTGACTCGGGAGGTTTTCAGCACTTGCTCACAATCATAAAAATGTCAGCTTTACATGACAAAGCTCATTTTTTAAAAACCCCTCCTTCTGTTATGATATGCTGCATTCCTTTCCAAGTCCAAATAAAGAATTCAATACAGTCCCATAAATTTTATAATCTCTGAGTGGACCTGAGTGAACAATCTCCTGTGAAAAATAGAATAATAAACAACCAAATTATTCTATAAATAATAATGAAGCATATGTTTCTTTCATTGGCAAACATACTTAGAGAGGGGGGAGAGCCCCAGAGACCCCATAGCAGGGTTTCTAGGCGGATGGGATAAACATAGATTTGTGTAGACGCCTGGGTTTTTTTGGCAAGCATGCTGCGCTTGCAAATGCACTGGGAGAGTTAGAGCACTCGCCAGGAGAGGTGCAGGGTTAGAAACATTTTATTCTCAAGGAAATTCCTCCTATTACTCCATTATTCATCAGAGTCTCAGAGGAGAAGGATGCTCCAACTGCTCCAGCAGAGAAAACAGTTCATCATGGTAGATATCCTAGACAAAATAATATGTTGATGTATTGAAAGTATGATGAATGAAATAGACGTAGGTGCTTCAGTCCATCAGTTAACTTTGACAGTAAGTACTGTAGAGATCGTTCAGTGGATATATGATATCAAAACTACACAGCTTTAAATATCAGAGCAGAGCTGCCATTCACAGTTGTGAAAGAGAACTGTTCATCCAGGTCACTCTAACTGTTTTGTGCATCAGAGA